GCCACCAAGTTGATTCTGACTCATAGCAACCCTAGAGGACAGAGTAGAAGTGCCCCATAGGATTTCCAACACTGTAATCTTTACAGAAGCAGACTGCCTCATCTTTCTTCTGTGGAGCAGCTGTTGGGTTTGAACCACCAACCTTCTGGTTAGCAGCCAAGCACTTAACCACACTGTACCACTGGGACTCCTATCCATAAGATTACAGCCATTGGAAACCCTATGGAACACATTTGTACTCTGGAACATCCACTTGATGGCACAGTGTTTTGTTTTTGGTACGTGACACTGTTTGTGTCTTTACCTGCTCCCCATCCCTGTAGCAGGCTCTCTCTCACGGTGTCTGTTTTCCAGCCCTGGCTGAGTGGGCTGCACATTATGAGAACCTCAGGAGCAGTGGAAGGCTGCCATGACCCGAACAATGGTACGTGGTGGCTTTACCGTGAACCACCTTTTCTAACTGCAGCAGAAGAGGCCGTAGGCAGCCCCGGACCCAAATTGGACCCCATCAGTGTCTCTTGGCTAAACTTTAGGGCTGGGACTCAAGTGGTTCTTGGGACTGAGCATCTCAGTGGGCATATCTGGCTGCTCTGTGCGAAGCAGAAGAAGATGGTCTGTGGAGAGACAGAAGAATAAAGTGTAAGGTCAGAAGGAAAAATACACATTTAGAGTGAGGGACAGAGACGGAGGCAGAGGCCCAGACAGGCAGGGAGATTCTGCAAGACGGGGAGACAACCTTGATTTCACATAGCTCTTCAACTCTGTTTCCTGTCCCTGTAAGACTGTCCGTTCCGGTAACATTGTCAGTTTTGCTTAAGTCAGCTTGAACGGATTTTATTTCTTGCAACTGAAGATCCCTGAACGAAAACTTGGGAGCTATAAAGGATGAGGTCGTGATCACAAGCCTTGCTGCAAAGCATCATGGGAAATGTATTCCTAGCCTCAGTATCTGCTGTAGGGCACATGGGAAATGTATTTCTATCCTCTGATCCATAGTGTAGGGCATGATGGGAAATATAATGTTGTTATGAGTTGCCAGTTGCTCCAACTCATGGTGACCCCTGGTGTGCACAGTAGAACTGCTTCATAGGGTTTTCAAGGCTGGGACCTTTTGGAAGGAGATCACCAGGTTTGTCTTCTGAGGAGCTTCTCAGTGAGCTTGAAGCACCAACCTTTCAGCCAGTAGTCAAGAGCGTAAACGCTTAAGCTTCCTAAGGACTCTGGGAAATGTAGTAATAGCCTCCAATCTCTGCCATGGGTTCTCATGGGAGATGGAGTTCTAGCCTCAATCCCTGCTGCAAAGCACCATGGGAAATATATTCCTAGTCTCCAATCTCTGTTGTAGGGAATCATGGGAAATGTGAAACTATATGAAAATTTTGACTCCACAGCATCTCAGAAAACATCATCTTAGCCTCATCTCTGCAGTAGAGCATCCTGGGACGATTGTCCTGGCCTCATTTTTGTTGTAAGGCACCATAGAAGATGTAGTCTTTTCTTCCCTTCTTTCTTCATCACCTGCCATGTTTCAGGCATTGTTCTATGCACTGGGAATACAGGAATGAGCAATTGAAAGGCCTTGCCTCCCACGGAGATTATAGAGGGAAGAGCTAGCAAAAAACAAACACAAGAGTTAACCATTGCTACATAACAACATACCCTAAAACGCAGTGGCATAAAACCACAACCATATTATGCTTATGATTCTGTGGGTCAGGAATTTGAGCAAGGCACAGGGGGATGGGTGTGCGTCTGTTTCACAATGTCCTGGGGTCCAAAATGGGCTGGGGGTCCAAAATGGGCTGGCTTGAGTAGATGGATGGAATGGTTCATCTGGGATCACATATCTGAAGCCCTTGGTTCTGGCCATCAGCTGGGTTCCTGCTAAACGGACAATGAGGCCACATCTTCTGACCTCCTCTACGGCACAAGAGGAAGACAAAATCATCATCAGTAGCCCAAGGCCTATCCCTGTGAGGCCAGACATGCTGCCTCCCTCCAGCCCTTTCACCAACCCTGACACCAACCGTTCCTTCCACAGCACTCACCACCTTTCTTCTAGGTTCGATAATTCTCTGCAGTGGCCACACAGAACTCACAGATTATGGGGTTTATTAGGGAAGCACCAGGTTACAATTCAAGTTCAGGGAAAAATGCTCAATCTCTCTCTGCCTGGTGTGTCTCAGCCAACAGTCTCTCTCCCAGCAATGTGTGTCTCTCTCAGCAATGTGTGTCTCTTGCGCCTCTTTCCCAGTGGTGTGTGTCTCTCAGGAGTGCGTGTCTCTCAGGAGCATGTCTCTCAGGAACACGTTTCTTCTCAGCAGCACGTCCTTCTCAGCCTGCAGACAGAGAGAGAGTTCTGCCTCTAGGAGGCCTCCTTTTGAGCCTGGCAGAGTGGCCAAACTAGCCAATCATAACATCAGAATTATAAGCACCTGAGAGGGAGTGGGAACCTCCCAGAACATTGTTTTATGCTGCTCCCAACAGAAGTACCCCAGGTGGGCAATTGAGCAATCAGGAGCTCCTCAGTTGCTCACAGCAAATTCCATCTTGGAGTTTACAAAGACTTATGGGTAGAAAAGCCATACCAGGTAATTTACTACACTGCAGTTCCCCAGTCCTTTCTCATATCACATCCTCTGAGGCTATGGTACCTAAGTACTGTACCTATAGTATCTAAGGCAAGGTACCTGTACTGCTCAGTTGTCTGGGCAAACATGGCTGGAACAGCTAAGACTCTCTCTTCATAAGTATCTATGCATGACTAGCTTAGGCTTCCTCACAGCATGGCAGCTTCAGGGTGTAGGAGGACTTTTACATGGCAGCTGGCTTCTCCAGAGTGAGCATTCCAAGGGTCAAGAAGTGGAAGATTACAGTTTCCTGGAGTCCCTGGTGGAGCAAATGCTTGAGCACACAGCTACTGTGGTGCAGTGAATTACTTGGCATGGCTTTTCTAGCCATAGTCTTTGTAACTCCCACCAGATTACTGGGTGGGACCATGCAAATATGGTGTGTAGAACTCTGATGTTGGGATTGGTTAGTTTTATCACTCTGCCAGGCTTAAAATGAGCCTTCCTAGAGACAGAAGTGGAGCTCTGGTGACACAGTATGTAAGGCATTTGACTGGTAGCTGGAATGCTGGTGGTTTAAACCCACCAGCCACTCCTGGGAAGGAAGACTGGGCAATCTACTTCCGTACAGATATTGCTTCAGAAACCCAAGGAGGGGTTGCTATGAGTCGAATCGACTCCACGGCAGTGAGTGAGGGGCAGAAGGGGGATCTCATTGCCATCAAGAGAGAAGAGCTGGAGGTCAAGTGGAATGCGTCCTTGTACCTGAGATCCCTGCATGGGACCTCCTTGGCTGAGAGATGCCCCAGCGGAGAGACGGTAGTAGTAGAACCAAGGAACACGAGACAGAGCAGCAGGCTTATCTGGTCCACAGAGGCAGAGGCCGAGAGGCCAAGGGCCAGAGAGGCGTGTCTGAGGGCACAGCAGAGGGGAGTTGGTCCTGATCGAAGAATTGTATCCTGAGTGCATTCCTGAACCTGAACTGTAGCCTGTTACTTCCCTAATAAACCACATAACATGAGTATTGTCTGTGAGTTCTGTGTGGCCATTGCAATGAATATCAAACCCAGCAGAGAATTAGTGAGTGCCATGGGAGGGGTGGTTGGTGTCAGAGTTGGTAAAAAGGCTGGAGGGTGGTGGCATGTCTGGCCTCATAGGAATAAGCCTTGGGCTGCTGATGGTGACTGTCTTTCTGTTGTGAAGTTAGAGGCGGTCAGAAGATGTCACCTCCATGTCCTTTCTGCAACTACTGACTGAGAGGTTGGCCATTTGAACTCCCAGAGTCACCTGGAAAGAAAGGCCTGGGGGTCTCCTTCTGGAAGGTCACAGCCATGAACTCTGTGGGAAGCCGTTCTGCTCTCATATACGCAGGGTCACCATGAGTCAGAATCTAAAACGACAACTGGTTTTGGGGGAGCATGGAGTCTATCAATATTGTGCTCCAAGAGTGCCACCGAAATTGTAGCTCTTTTTCTCCATCTGTCCTAGGGCATCCTGGGAACTATAATCCAGCCTTTAGCCCCTGTCCCCAAAGCATCAGTGGAAATGTAGTCCTGTCCTTATTCCCCACTGTAGTGCATCAAGGAGGTTCTGGCCATCAGCTTATCTCCTGTAGTTCTGTTCCCACGTTCTGTCCCAAGGCCCCATGGGAACTGCAGACATGCTTCCTTATAACAGCACAGTAGGCTTGACCTTTGCAGCTCGAAAGAAGAGACTGGAAGGTTAGTGCTTGGGTGGGTGAGTTGGAGGGTTGCATTTGGGGCCCAGAAATAGATGTGGAGGTGACTTAGGGTAGAAACCCTGATGGAACAGCTTCTGAGGGCCTCGAATGTCTGGGTCCTAAAATAACAACCACCCAGTAAAACCAGTTCCCGTCAAGTTGACCCCAACTCACGGTGACCTTATGTGTGTCAGAATAGAACTGTGCTTCAGAGGGTTTTCAATGGCTGATTCTTCAGAAGTAGAGTGTTGTTCTGGGTCCTTCTGGGTAGACCTGAGCCACCAACCTTTTGGTTAGTAAATGAGCACTTACCTGTTTGTGCCACCCAGGGTGCCCTGGGTCCTACAACATGACCTCCAATTTCAGGAGCCTGTGGAAAGGGGCCCCTCCCCGCCTCATGTTCCCAGAGATGGATGCCATGGAAAAGGCCAGAACTGGTCATAGTCATTGGTACAAAAATCTTTATTTATTAAATATAAAATATTTAATAATAAAAATATTAATAATAATGACAATCGGGGTAATAACAACAGCGGTCACAATATGAACAGTAACAAGATTCTCCCGCAGGCCCAGCTTTGATCCTCTGGTTCTCATGACCTGTGAGGTAGGCGTTCAGACAGCTGGGCCCTGAGGTCCTACAGCGAGTCTCCAGGCACTAAGGAAAGGGGGGACCACTGGATCCAGCCAGGGCAGGTGCGCTTTGGGGTTCAGGTCCAGAGGAGAGTGTCTCCCCACAGTCTTGCTGTCATAAGCAGGGTGAAGGTGAGGCTGAGGTGGGTGGGGCCGGGCTGAGGGGCTCCCCCTCTGCGGGGCTGGCGGTCTGTGGCTGGGTCGTTACAGCCACTTCCAGAACAGCACGAGACGTTGAGATGGGTCAGCCTGAAGGCTTCGGCCACTGGGAGTTCTTGGCACCAGGAGGGGGCAGCGCAGCCCCGCACTGTGTAGCTTGGGGCCCCCAGCCCTGAGGAAAGAGAGAACTGTGTGAGAGACTCAGCCTTTCCACGCCCCTCAGGGAGTCTCTGGAATCTCCCAGAAACTCCCAGGTCCTGAGCCTGGCCTGGAATGCTCACTGGGTGACACAGCACCTTGTGGGTGGGTGCCTTCTCACTACTCCCGCAGAAAGTGCAGCCCATAACAACGCTAAGACAAGGTGCCTTGTACACTCTCATTCTCTCACAAGTGGAGTTTTCCAGAAGCTACCAAACCAAACGAAATCCAGTGCCGGGGAGTGGATTCTGACTCACAGCGCCCCTAGAGGACAGAGTGGAACTGCTCCAGAAGGCTTCCAAGGCTGTCAATCTTTACAGAAGCAAAGCCCAAACCACACCCACTGCTGTGGAGTCGATTCTGACTCACAGCGCCCCTAGAGGACAGAGTGGAACTGCCCCACAGGGTTTCCAAGGCTGCAACTCTTTATAGAAGACGACTGCTTCATTTTTCTCCCGTGGAGCGACTGTGGGTTGGAACTGCCAACCTTTCCGTTAGCAGTCCAATGCTTTGACCACTGCACCACCAGAGCTCCTTCTAGAAACTATAGGACGTAAAAGAGATTGAATGCAGAAGTAGATGGGAGGAGCCAGAGGTCTTCTTAAGCAAGATGTTCGAGATTTGTGGAACAGTAAAACAATGCCACACTTCTCATTACATTTTTTTATTTCAGAAAATATTGTTATTTGAAATATATATATCTAGTTAGATAGAGGGAGCTTTGGTAGTGTAGTGCCTAAGCACTTGACTGCTAACCAGAAGGCTGGCAGTTCAAACCCACCAGCCACTCCTTGGAAGGAAGATGGGGCAATCTACTTCCGTAGTGATAGGGCCTCTGAAACCCAAGGAGGGGTCGCTATGAGTCGGGTCTGACTTGAGGGCATGTAACAACAACAACAACAGTTAGATTAGATACAACCCACATAAACAATGGTTTTCAAGAGTGTAAAGGAGTCTCCACACCAAAAAGTTTGGGAACCCCTGGAGCAGAGAACTATCCTAGGACGTCATAGAACGTGAGGTCCACAGGAAGTCCCACCCACCTACAGGAACGCTCACCTCCCGAGAAGCCCACATGACTATGGCAGAATGCCCATTTCCTAGTAGACAAGCCGTAACCCCTTACAATTTCCACTCTCCTGAGGGAAGTCCTACCTTTTCCACAGGAAGATCCACCTCCACGAAGCCCAGTTTAATTGGAAATCAACCCTTTGCAGAACCACCCCCACTTCCAATAAGTACCCTCTCCCAGCCTCCAGATGGCATTACCGTTAGAGCCTGTGGCTTCCAGACATTGAGTCATGGGTCCTCGGCAGGTGATGAGGGAAGTCTCGTCTGAGGAACATCCGTGGGTGCTGTTCCCCTCGCAGCTGTAACACTGGACGCCATTGGGTGGCAAGTTTTCAAGCTCTATGACTTTGGAGAAGGCAAGAGACACAGAGACAGTGAAATTAGCATGAAGCGCTTAAGGCAGACTCCCTCCTTTTTGTTAGTAACTTCCAGGTAATGCCAAGTACTACTTACGCCAAAACTAACCCACTGCCACCGAGCTGATAATCTCAAATTGATGGCTGTAAATCTTTACAGAAGCAGACTGCCTCATCTTTCTCCAGTGGAGCAGCTGGGGTGTTTGAACCACTGACCTTTTGGTTAGCAGCCAAAGGCCTTAGCCTAGGCACCAGAGCTGCTTAAGTATTGCCCAAAAACAAAACAAAACCAACTCATTGCCACTGAGTCAATTCTGACTCATAGTGAAACTCACTGGGTTCCCATGACTGTAAATCTTTATGGAAGCAGACCACCTCATCTCTCTCCTGTGGAGCACCTGGTGTGTTCAAACCACCAACCTTTTGGTTAGCAGCCAAACGCCTTAACCACATCATCAGAGTTCCTTAAGCATTGCTCAGGACTCCCCACTTCCTTCAAGCCTGAGCTGTCATGGGGCCACCTTGTGGTCAGGCATTGGAATGGCAATTTCTTTTGGAGAGTTAAGACTTAATGAGGAGGCCCGATGTTGCAGGGATCAAAGCTCTAGGCTGTTAATGGCGATGTCGGCAGTTCGAACCCACCATCCGCATGGCAGTCTGCTTCTGTAGAGATTACAGCCTAGAAGACCCTATGGGGCAATTCAACTCTCCTTTAGGGTCGCTTTGACTCAGAGTCTACTTGACAGCAACAGGTTTGGTTTGGTTTTCTAGGACTTGTGAGAGGACCCCCAACATCTCTCCACTCCATCTGATGTCCAATCCGACCCGATCAAATGCCAGCCACTGAGTATTCAGCCATGTCAGAGGAAACAGTCCCTGCCTTTGCTTGCAGTTTGGCGCTACACGGTCAAATACGTCAGCCAGTAGCCCAACTGTTTAAGCTGAAATTTAAACTTCTTGTTAGTTGTTGTCGAGTGGACTACAACTTATGGTGACCTCGTGTGCAACAGAGCAAAACACTGCCCAGGACTCCCACTTCCTTCAAGTCTTCATGACTGTCGTATGTTTGAGTTCACTGTTGTAGCCATTGTGTGTTGTTGTTGTTGTTATGTGCCGTTGAGTCGGACCCAACTCATAGCGACCCCTCCTTGGGTTTCTGAGGCAGTATCACTATGGAAGTAGATTGCCCAACCTTCCTTCTGAGGAGTGGCTGGTGGGTTTGAACCACCAGCCTTCTGGTTAGCAGTTAAGTGCCTTAGGCACTACGCCACCAGAGCTCCTCCTTCTAACCTAGGAGATTCATTTTCCAGAACCATATAGGACAATGTTCTGTTGTGATCCATAGCGTTTTTATTGGCTAAATTTTAGAACTAGATAGCCAGGCCTTTCTTCCTTGCCTTAATCTATCAAGCTCCCCTGAAACCTGTCTACCATGGGGGGTGACCTCACTGTTATTTGAGATAGCTTCCAGCATCCCAGCAAGACAGGCTACCATAGTCTGACAAACGAACAGAGATGAGTGGTAGACATTTAAACCAATTAGTGTTCAATAAAATTTAAAATTCAGTTCACATTTCAAGTGCTCAGTGACCACGTGTGACTAGTAGCTACCACACTGGACAGCGCAGATACGGAACCTCTGTATCACTGCAGAAAGTTCTATTGCAGTGTTGGTTTAGACAGAAGAGCATGAGAGAGCTAGAGTCTATTGGAGGGGAGGGACAGAGAAGTTCAATACAGTAAAGCTGAGACCTAATGGATGAGAAGCGGCTAGCCAGCTGAACTCGGGGGAGAGGTGTTCCAGGTGGAGACTACTGCATGTGCAAGGGCCATGAGGGAGGATGGTGTTTGACGGTTGTAGAAACGAAATGAAGATCATGAGTCAGACAGATGCCATCACATAGCCCATAGGAAGACTTTTGGATGTTATTCTCAGAGCAAGGGGGACGTCACTGAAGTGCTGATCTGAAAGTCACATGATCTGATTGATCTGGTTTTTGAAAAATCCCTGTGGGTGCTGTTTGAGCAGCAGTTCTTGAACAGCAGGCGGGTAAGCAGAGTAACCGACGGGTGCTGCTGCAACACTCTATGGGAGAGCTGATGGTGGCTTGCACCAGTGTGGTGGCTGTGGAGTGGGGCAGAGTGGGAGGACTGGTGACAGCTGGAGCAGGCAGAAAGCACAGGTCTTAGCAAAGGGTTGATAAACCAAAAAACCAGTAGCCGTCGAGTCGGTTCCTATGCGTGGCCACCCCACGTGCGTCAGAGCAGAACTGAGTTCCCTAGGGGTTTCAATGGCTGATTTTTTGGGAGCAGGTCACCAGGCCTTTCTTCCAGGTTGCCTCTGCGTGGACTCAAACTGCCAACCTTTCAGTTAGCAGCTGAGTGCTTAACTGTTTGAGCCACTCAGGGACTCCAAAGGATGGAGTATCTTTGAGTTCCTACAGAATCCTTCTTAGAGGAAGGTCTTGGTATGCCCATTTTTCAGAGGAGGTAGGATTCCCAGAGAAGAGAGGTGATTTGCCTGAGGGATTGTGCAGTGGTCTCCCCGTTCCCATCCCAGGCCTCACGTCAGGTCCCCTGCTCCTTACCTGGGCCTCCATTGCATTTGGTGGTGTTACAGCACTGCAGAAAGTGGAAGGTATGGTTGTTGTGGAAACCAGTGGGGCCTGGGCAGCCAGGGAGGTAGCCGCAGCCGCGGGTGTGGCGTTCATCCTCTAGACTGCCTATAGAGGGCAGACAGATTGGTCAGGGAGGATCTAAGGTTGGGTTTGGCCATCCCAGTAGTCAATCATTCATTCTCTGCTTTGGGGAAGCCACACATCTAGCCAATGACTACATTTCCCAGACTCCTTTGCAGCTAGGTAGGTCTTATGATTAAGTTCTGCCCAACTTACTTCTGTAAGTATTAGTGCTTTATGGGATTTCCAGAAAGGAGACCTTTTATTAAAAAGCTGTATCCTTTTGGCCCCTTCTTCTCCCTTTCCTTCTTCCTGGAACTCAGACATTAGGCCTGGAGCTCCAGCAGCCGTATTGGAACAGGAGGCAATTTTAAGAATGGAAGACATTTGGGTTCCTGGTGAGTGTGGAACTATTCTAACAGCTCTGGACTTCTTATCTGTGGACTTTTTTGTATATGAGAGCACTAAGCTTCTACCTTGTTTAGATTGCTGTTATGTGGAAGGTTGCTAAATGCAGCCTTAGGAAGGAGCTAAGTAGGAGAGAGGAGCTGCTGGGTTAGGGCTCACCTTCCAGGCTCTGGTGGGTTACCACCTCCAGGCACTGTTCTTCAGGGCTGCGGCATTGCAGGCTCTTGTCCCGGCCCCTCTCACAGCTCATGTCTGATGACGCACAGGAAGCACATTCGAGATAACGTCTTCGGGGGGAGCTGGGAGCCCGTCCTGGTTGGAGATAAGCAGGAAGGTGAGATTCCATATGGAGAGTCCTGGAGATCCTTTGAGTCCCCCAAAGACTCTTCTCAGCATCACTTCCTCCTTATCTCACCTTCAGCCAATCATCAACCCTTGCCCATTCTGCCTCTCACATTTGCCTGGAATCCATCCCCTCCTTTCTAGCCCCATGGCCACATCCAACCCAGACCTCCTCTCGGTTTCCACTTTTGCCCCTGCCCCCAGTGCATCCCCACATGGCCCTGAAGAATGCGTCTAACACCCAGATCTGACCCTTTCTTTCCTCTACTCAAAATCCGTTTATGGCTCCCTGTTGCTCTTAGAATAAAATCCAAACTCAGTGTGGTATTCAAGGCCTATCAGAGACTGAGTCTGGGCCACCTATTCTCACCTCTCACCACTGTTCCTTCAGACTCTCCATTCCACATTGACTTCCCACCAAGAAACCAAACCCATTGCCACTGAGTTGGTTCTAACTCATGGTGGTTCCATATGTTACAGACTAGGAATTCTCCTTAGGGTTTTCTTGGCTGTAATCTACAGGAGCAGATTGCCAGGCTTTGTTCCATGGTACCATTGGGTGGGGTCAAACCAACAACCTTTAGGTTAATAGTTCGGCACCAACTTTGTGCCTCCCTGGAACCCTTGACTTCCCGCTGTCCCAGAACACACATGCTGATTTGTATCCAGATCTTTGTGTATGTTGTTGTCTTTGCTTAGAACATCTTTCCCTAACTTCTACTCATTCTTTAAGGTGTCATCTCCAATTTTACCTCCTCCACCAAGTCTTCCTTAACCTCCCAGGCTAGGTTGGGTATCTCCTCTGGGCTCCCACAACCCCTTGGACTCCCCCATCGCAGCTCTGCCCACTCTGGGTCTTCACTGGGTGACAGATCTGTTTCCACCATTGGACTGTGAGCCCTGGGAGGGCAGGACTAGGGCTGCCTCAACACCACACAGCATAGGCTCAAGCCAAGAGAAGATATACAATAGGCATTTGTTGAATGAATGAGTGGACAAGTGTTTAAAACCCTTTTAATGCTCCTGTGGTAGCCAGACTCTAAGATGGCCTCCAATGATCCCTACCTTCTGGTATTCAGCCCTTGTGTAGTTTCTTCCCACAAAGAATAGGGCTGGCCTGTGTAACCAATAGGGCATGGCAGAAATGACCATGTGTGACTGCTGTAGCTGGATTGTAAAGGCATTGTAACTTCTACCTGGCTCTCTTGTGGATTGCTTAGTTTGGGGGAAGCCAGGTGCCATGTTGTAAGAGTACTCAAGCAGCTCTATGGCAAGGTCTATATGGTGAGGAACCGATGCCTTTGCTCAAGGCATGGGAGTGAATCAGCCATGTGAGTGGAGGTACCTTGGGCGTCTTCCGTTGAGTGCAGCCCTGGCTGACATCCTGACTACAACCTCAGGAAAGATCCACCTAGCCAAAACCACCTAGCTAAGGAAGCCTCTCCCGGATTCTTGACCTTTAGAAATGCTGTGAAATAATAAATGCTTATTTTTATTTGAAGTTTTGGGACAATCTGTAATGCAGCAATCAATAACTAACACACTACTTAATTGTCTCAGGGATCAAGGCGTCACTTTGTCGATCCTTGACAACTTTGTCTCTCACTGGATCAGTTATTCTTCCCTGTAAACACCTTTCCTCTGCTCACGCCTTTGCTCACATCATTTTGCACGTCTGGCATGTCCTCCCCTTCCTGACTCCAGATGTCCAATTTGAGTTTGGGCCAGGTCTTAGGGAAGTGGGAAGGCCTGCCTCAGCCAAAGTTCTCAACTGGCATGCCAGGAGCCATAATCAGGTCACTCTTTTCCATCCAAAGCTTAATTCTCCCTTCAAAGAAAACTACAAGGCCAATACCCTTGTCTTCTCCTGTGAACTTCCTTGAAAATGAAAACATGACTTGCCAACGCTACCAAAATAGCAAACTCACATGACCTATGGGTCTCCTTTGTGAGTTCTTCTCTTGTTGTCCTGATAAATGCCAGTGATCATTAAGGTCCTGCCTTGGCCTCTTTTTATTTCTCATAGTATATATTCTCTCCCTTGAGGGTGTTATCCTTTGATGTGGCTTCATTTCCACCAAATGCTGGTCAGTCACAAATCTCTCTGCAGTCCCAGCTCTCTCTGAGCTTCAGACCTGTACACCCAACCACCTCCTGGATGTCCCTTGACTGTCTCTCAAACATCCGAATATCGACATTCCCCAAACAAAAATCTCCACCTTCTCCTCAGACCTGCTCTTTCTTCTGAGTTCGCCATCTCTCAGGTGGGCCTATCTAGTCCCTCAGGGCAGAAGCTAGGCAGTCCTCCACATCTATGCATCAATCTGGCCACATTTACTGACCTGTCTTCTACTTCTTTAAATCCTTTGGTTCTGCTGTTTCTAATATGGTATTAAGTATGCCTGTTGAGTTCTTCATTTCAGCCATTGTTCTATATTTTCTGTTGGACTCTTTTAAAAACTGGGCTCCAGATCTGTGCTATAATTTACCCTTTCCTCTACTTGCCTGAACACATTAATCATAGCCAGTTTCCTGTTTGATGACTTCAATATCTGAATTATTACAAGTCGCTTTCTATTATTTGGTTTATTTCTTGGTTTCCAGTCAACTGGTCCTTCCTGTTTTTCTTCAGCATACCTTGTAAATTTTGATTAGATGCCAAACATTATAGATGAAAATTTTAAAGGCTTTAAATGATGTTGTCTTCTCCAAAGAGAGTTAGGTTTTCTTACTGTCAAGGGTTGGCTATTGGCTTTTTAAGGAGCCCTGGTGGTGCAACGGTTAAGCACTGGGCTAGCAAGTGAAAGGTTGGTGGTTTGAACCCACCCACTGGCTCTGTGGGAAAAAGAATGGGGGATCTGCTCCTGTGAATATTGCAACCTAAAACAAAACCATATGGGGCAGTTCTCTATCTCATGGGGTCACGATGAGTTGAAATTGATTTGATGGGACACAACAAGGCCTTTTTGTTGTTAGGTGCCGTTGAGTTCGTTCTGACTCATAGGGACCCTATGAACAACAGAATGAAATACTGCCTGGTCGTGCGCCATCTTCACAATCATAGCCATTATTGTTGTGTTTTGTTATGTGCCGTCGAGTTGGACCCAACTCATAGTGACCCCTCCCTGGCCTTCCCAGGCAGTATCTCTATGCCGAGACCAACCTTCCTTCCGAGGAGTGGCTGGTGGGTTTGAACCACCAGCCTTCTGGTTAGCAGTCGAGTGCCTTAGGCACTACACCACCAGAGCTCCTAATCAAGCCATGCTTGAGCTCCTTGTCACTGCCACTGTGTCAATCCACCTCACTGAAGGTTTTGCCTTTTTTGCTGACTCTCCCCTTTTCCAAGCATGATATCCTTCTCCAGGGACTGGTCCCTTCTGACAACATGACCAAAGTATGAGAGCTGAAGTCTGGCCATTCTCATTTCTAAGGAGTATTCCTGTTGTACTTCTTCCAGGACAGATTTGTTTGTTTTTCTGGCAGTCCACGGTATATTCAATATTCTTTGCTAACACCACAGTTCAGATGCATCAATTTTGTGGTCTTCCTTACTCTTTTTCCAGCTTTCACATGCATATGAGGCTACTGAAAATATCAGGCACACCTTAGTCTTTAAAGTGACACCTTTACTTTTTAACACTGTAAAGAGGTCTTTTGCAGCAGATTTGCCTAATGCAGTATATCATTTGATTTCTTGACTGCTGCTTCTATGGGTGTTGATTGTGGATCCAAGTGAAATGAAATCCTTGACAACTTCATCTTTTCTCTGTTTATCATGATGTGGCTTATTGGTCCAGTTAGGTTTTTGTTTTCTTTATACTGAGGTATGACCCATACTAAAGGCTGTAGTCTTTGATCTCCATCAGTAAGTGCTTCAGGTCTTCAGTTTAAGCAACCAAGGTTGTGTCATCTGCACATCACAGGTTGTTAATGAGTCTTCCCCCAATCCTGATGCCATGTTCTTCTTTATATAGTCTAGCTTCTTGGATCATTTGCTCAGCATACAGATAGAATAAGCATGGTGAAAGGATGCAGCCCTAACATACACCTTTTCTGATTTTAAACATGTGGTATCCCCTTGTGAAGGGTCAGTGAGAAAGGGGAAGTCCCTCTATGAGATGGATTGATACAGTGGCTGCAATGATGGGCTCAGGTATAGCAAGGATTGTGAGGCTGTCACAGGACCAGGCAGCGTTTCCTTTTGTGGTACACAGGGTAGCTATGAGTCAGAGCATACGCGATGGCACCTAACAACAACAGCAACAACAACAGGATCCCCTTGTTCAATATCCCCTTCACCAGTTATCAGGCTTATCAGTTATTAAACTACTAATTGACAGTCACTGCTCTGAGCTCCCTGGTGGAAGCTAACCATTTGCAACTCTCCCCTACAACCCTCAAGTGTCCAAGATCTATCAGCTAAAGGGTTAACACCAGGCCCAGCAGGGGGTCTCCAGGAGTCCTTCCTGATTGGTCAGTGGCCCATTGGTCAGGAGGCACTGGTAAATGTTGTTCAATATTTTGAATGTCATCTTTGACTGGAAGAATTACTAAGCTCCTTGAACTAAGAGAGGAAGAAGCCAGCATCCTCTCTCTTGTCACTTCCTGGACACTAAACATCTGATCCAGTCTCTATCAGCAGATTAAAGTTTGTGGTCAGGATGGATGAAATCAGACAGAAACAGGATGAGGGAGAAGCAAGAAACCACCAGCACAAACACTAGTGCCTTCCTTGTTCACTGACGTCACTACGGCCAGACCAGCCTCATCTGATTTCCTTCCTCACCAGAGCCAGAAGGAGAAATAGCTTCTTGGCTGTTCAACGTGGGCCCACCCTTCCTCTTTGGTGGGAATCCGGGGGCTCTGACCCTCTCTAAGTCTTCTCTAGCATCCCTGGGTAGCACAACTAGTTAAGCATTTGACTACTAGCCAAAAGGTTGGAGGTTTGAACCCACCCAGAGATGCCTCAGCAGACAGGCCTGGTGATCTGCATCCAACACACAGGTCGCCATGAGTCAAAATCAACTAGATGGTAACTAACAACAACAACTGACACAACAAGAAAAGTCTTTTTCTTAAGCTGTCTCCAGCCTAAAGCCATGACATCTAGATGTTTCTTCACATTTTTTGTAAGTTGTGGTAAAAATATACATAAAACATTTGAATTTGACAAGTCGACCATTTTTTGACATGTTTAATTTAGTGACATTGATGACATCCACCACATCATCTCTACCCTCTGCCAACTTATCCTCCACCATTAAAGTAAACCCAGTGCTCCCCGAGCACTAAGTCCTGCTTTCCTCCTTCTCCCACCTCAGGACCCATTCATTCATAAGCGATGGTTTCTGTATATTTGCCCATCTCACATAAATGAGACCATATAGTATTTGTCCTTTTGTGTTCACATCTCTTCTCACTGTCCAAACCAAGGACCAGCAGCTTTCTCAGCCCACCTCAACCCATCCGATCCCCTCCTCTTTTAACTGACATTAAGAACTGTGAGTCTCTGCTTTTATCTTGGTTTCTCAGTATCTACTGCTTGGACCATCTCCTATCCCCATGGAAAAGTCAGATAGCAAAACGTCAGTGAGACATCTCATCGACCTAGTGAGCAGGTGTGTGCATATGTGTGAGTGTCTAATGGCAGCTGGTGCATTTTATATATGAATCCCAAAGCCAAACCCATTGCTGCCCAGTTGAATCCTATTCCTAGTGACCCTATGGGGCAGAGTAGAACTATCCCATTGGGTTTCCAAGGCTGTAAATCTTTACGGAAGGAAAGCTCAAACCAAACCCAGTGCCATGGAATCGATTGCAACTCACAGCGCCCCTAGAGGATAGAAGTAGAACTGCCCCAGAACATTTCCAAAGCTGTAAACCTATAGAAAGCAAATTGCCAAAACATTCCCCCAAGGAACAACTGGTGGGTTCGAACCACTGACCTTGTACTTAGCAGCCAATTGCTTAACCGCTATGCCACCAGAGCTCCTTTGTCTTATATACAACCACAATAAATACAGACACATGCAGGATGGGGATAGGGTTAGGGATGGGTAAGGCTGGGGAAGAGTATGTAGTTAGAGGTGGGCTTAGGGCAGTTTGAGATGAGTATAGGTTGATTAGTGGATGGGATTAGGGGTGTGTTTGGAATAGGATGGGTTTGAATAGGAGACCACGCTCGGGCAAAATGAAGGTGGAGGTGAGACTGGGTTGGGGATGGAGATAAGGTTGGGGATAGAGTCAAGAATGAGTTAGAGGCAAGACTGGGTTGGGGAAAGGAAAAGAGATGGAGGTAGGTTTGAGAATGAGTTGGAGATGAGACTGAGCTGAGGTTGGGGATGAGGACAGGGTTGGGAATGAGATGGGGAGAGGACTGAGCTAGAGGTGGGTTTGGGCATATGTATGGGGCAAGAATAGGTTTGAATCGGGGTTGGCACTGCAGTAAGGCAGGGAGTGGGGTGGAATCGGGACAGGATTGAGATGACAGAGCAGTTGAGTTGGGGTTGGGGAGGGTTGGGGTGAGGGATGGTGAGGGTTGCCCTACTCACGAGCATTGGGCTGGTTGCACAAGTCTGAATCACACACGGTCTCTGTGAGGGTGATGATCTGTGACCCTGTTCGGTAGCTCATGGTTCTGGTGGTCTTCTCTGGGTGGGCACATCCTTTCTCCACCACCTCCAGCTCTTCACCATCTGTGAGGAATATATCCTTGTCACCCCAGAGCCTCCCCTGGGCCCAACGAGCCCCTGACAATCCGCAGGCTAATCTCTGTTAGGCCTCTCCTCTTGTTTGGGTACAATCCTGTCTCTTTTTATAAAAAAAAATTATTGTGATTTGGATGATAGTTTACAGAGCAAATTCATTTTCTATACAGCAGTTCATACACATTTTGTTTCCTAACATTGACTCCAATCCCAATAGCTCTCTTCCCACATCCGCCCTGTGGTTACCTCTTCCCTGTGTAGTTTCCTAAGCCTTACTGCCCCCTGAGCAATCTCTCTATGCAAACACTGCCCTTCTATTCTCCATGATTGATCGCTCCAAGGAGCATACCTACCTGGTTTAAATGTTCACCCCATATGCTTGTTTATTGTTTGGCTGGCAGCCACAGGAGTGAGTTCAGTTCCAGACCTGAAGGGTAACTAGAGGCCATAGTCTCAGGGGTCTTACCAGTCTCTACCAGACCAGTAAGTGTGGTCTTTTTAATGATTTTGAATTTTGTTCCACACTGTTTTCCCACTCTATCCACCCTGCACTGATCCCCTTCTGAGTGGTTGACAGTGGTAGCCGGGACAATTCTGTCTTTTGCAGAGTTACCCACCCCCCCGACCCCCATGCATGGGGACCTACGCCCCGTCAGGGACAACAGTGTCACTGGGACCTTCTGGATCCATGTACTCCCCTAGTTTCCCGAGCTCAGCAGGGATATGTTTCCAATAGGAATTGTTAAAGGGAAATACTTCAAACTTCAAATGGGAGCTCTGGTGGCATAGTGCCTAAGGCGTTTGACTGCTAACCAGAAGAGCCACTCCTCGGAAGGAAGATTGGGCAACCTACTTTCGTAGAGATACTGCCTCAGAAACCCAAGGAGGGGTTGCTATAAGTCAAATCAACTCTACGGCAGTGAGTTTTGTTTGGTTTTTGGTACTTCAAATGTACCAAAAAGCATAAGGCAAAGATATAATAAATTCTTACGTATTCATCACCTAACTTCGTAACATATTAGCATTATGATATTTCAGATATTTTAAAAAAAGACATAGTGACAGTTAAAACTATTTATTCCTCCCAAATCCTGTTCAGAGGCAACCATCGGGTGAGTCTTACTCTACTATGCAGAACAACATATGCTATGGTTGTACATGTTTCCAACTTTATGGAAAAAGGTATCATATATACATATATTTCCTCTCAACTGTATTCCTGAAATGTATCCACGCTGGCACATGCAGGGCTCTCGCTCCTTCTTTTAGAAATTACTGCATAAGGAAGAGTGAAGAAAATCAAAGACCTATAGAGGTAGTTAGTCCAAAGGACTAACGGACCATGAGAACCTGAGCCTATATGACCCTGAGAGCAAAAGAACTAGATGGTACCCAGCTACCAATGCCAATTACTCCGATTTTGAAAAGGATCAAAATTGATCAATCATGGGAGAACAGAAGGGCAGTGTTTGCACAAAAAGAGCTCAGGGGGCAGGAATGTATAGAAAAGGACACAGGGAAGAGGTAACTACAGGAAGGAAGTAGGAAGAGAGCTGTTACGTTATGGGGAGTTGCAATCAATGTCACAAAACAAAATGTGTATGAAATGCTGTAATGAGTTTGCTCTGTAAACTTTCACCCAGATCACACACACACACACACACACACAGAAACAAAATTGGAGATAGATCCTGGATAGAGTGGGAAAAAAATGTGGAACACAACTCAAAATCATAAAAAAGACCACACTTACTGGTCTGTTAGAGAATGGTGAAACCCCTGAGACTATGGCCCCAAGTCACCCTTCTGGCCTGGAATTGAACTCACTCCCGTGGCTTAACTCTCAGCCTAACAATAGACAGGCCTATGAGCTGAACACCTACACCAGGGAGATGCACTCCTTAGAACAATCAACCATGGGAATTTTTTAAATTAAAAAATAAATAAATTACTGCATAAACCAGAAAACCAAACTCATTGCCATTGAGGGAATTCCAATGGCGACCCATGTGTTACAGAGTAGAACTGCTCCAAAGGGTTTTCTTGGCTGTAATCTTATGGAGGCAGGTTGCCAGACCTTTCTTCCACTGTGCCGCTGGGGAGGTTTGAACCTCCAACCTTTTGGTTAGTCGTCAAGCACGGTTTGAACCACCCAGGGACCTTAAAATACTGGATAGTTTTCTATTACACGATAATGCCACAGTATTTCTCTTCTGCTGCTGATGGACTTTCTAGAGTGTGTATCCAAGTTTCCCAACATTCCCAAGAATCTTGCTAAGAACATTCCCATACAGGCGTCCCTGCGCACACGTGGGTAAGGTTCTTTGCAGTTTCTCTATTCCTAGGAGCTGAACTAGGAGCTCTGGTAGCATAGTGCCTAAGGCACCTGACTGCTAACCAGAAGTCTGGCGGTTCAAACCTACCAGCCACTCCTCGGAAGGAAGGTTGGGCAATCTACTTCCGTAGTGATACTGCCTCGGAAACCCAAGGAGGGGTCGCTATGAGTCAGGTCTGACTTGATGGCACATAACAACATAACAACAGGAGCTGGCTGTTGGGTATGCCAGTCTTCATCTGGATATTGTCAATATGCTCTGAGCTGTGGATCCATCACCCCCCTACCAGTCGGGCCTGCGCTCAGCATCCTCGCCAACCCGGGCTCGCGCTGTAGCGGGGACGCTCACCTTCCCAAATGTTCATCACCGTGGTTCTGCAGAGGTCCTGGCCGAGGGCGCACTCGCCCACTTGGCAAAGCCCGCTGGTCTTACACACCATGCACTGCAGGCCCCAGCAGACTGCAGGGGGCGGAGGAAGAAGAAGGAGACGAGGCTGTTACAAATTCCGTACAGGGATCCCCGTCTTGCCCCCACGCCCAGATGCCAGGACCCGGTCTCCCGGGCTAGTCCGCGCAGGTTCGCGCTTCGCATTCTGCGCTCCAACTCCCGGCTGCAGTTCCATCTCTAGGCCAACGTTCTATCTCCGCCCACCAGTGCGCGCCTGAAGTCCTGCCCGCGCTTGGTTTTTCCCTAATTTTGTCCAGTCGGGGTCTGGCCTGAATCCGAGCCCCGCCCTGTCTGTGGGTCGGCTTCCACACCCCGCCAGCTCTCCTACGGGCGTTCTAGGCTCACCCCACCTCATCTTCACGTTCTACCCCGGCTCCCCCCAATTCTAACATAATTATCCCCACCCACTACAGCCCTGGTTCTGCTGTCTTCATTATTAGGTCCCCTCTAGGAGCTCTGGTGGCGCAGTGCCTAAGGCATTTGACTGCTTAACCAACAGGCTGTCGGTTCGAACCCACCAGCCACTCCTGGGAAGGAAGATTAGGCAATCTACTTCCGTTTTAAGTGAGTCGATTCAGACTCATAGCGGACAGAGGAGACGTGTCCCATAAAGTTTTGTAGGCTGTCATTTTTATGGGGGTTGGAACTGCCAACTTTTCGGTTAGCAGCAAACGCCAGAGCCAGGGTCAAGCCCCGCCCCTAGGCGATCTCCCCTTCCATCGGTCCTCCAAGTCCTAGCCCCGCCCCCAGCCCCGCCCCACGTTCTAACCCCACCCACTACCTTCTCCCAACTGGTCTTTGCAGCGGGAGCCCCGCCTCAACTCCCGCCTGGACCGCGGGACCTCAGCGGGCGTCTCCTCCCAGCAGCGAGCTGCGCGCCCTCACCGGTTACGCATTCCCGGCCTCCCGCGGCCAGGAGAGCTTTCCCGGTTAATCATCTCCTACCGCTCCCCCCCCAGGCCGGCCTGCCCCACCCTGACTCAGTTCCTTCTCCATTTCCTTTCGTTTCTCAATCGGGTCCCCCACATTTTCCGGGGGAAGCAGGTGAGAAGGTCACTTTGGCAAAGGGTGGTGAAAGGTCCTTGAGGGTCAAGGCCTGGGTCCTGCCTCTCTCCGGATTTTCTGTAAATTGAGGTGCGATCCTCGGTCTCTCTTGGGGGTGGCCCGGCAGAGATGAGAGCGCTGGGGCTCCGCTGAGGGATCAGAATCCCACTTATTCAAGGACTGGCTGTGTGACCTCGGGCCAGTTCCTTAACCTCTCTGTACCGCAGTTCCTCCTCTAGGAAACGGAGTTCATCTTAGTCCCTCCCGCTCAATTTGAAAGTGCAAGGAGACTGGCATAAAAAAAGAGAGCTCTCGCTAAACGGTGGCTGTTGTTAAATGCCTTCGCGCATCCAGCTCTTTCCTGAGCAGCTACTGTTGCCAGGCACTGTGGCGTGTGGGGCAGCAGAGAGCATGATAATTATTATAATCTGGGTGGGGGGCTGGGGACTTAGTCCCTCTCCCCAGTCCTTCAGACCCGGTTCGCGGCACAGGAGTCCAGACGCCCAGTTCTACCTGGGATGCAGCTGTGAGTCGTATCCGGAGACCCCCTCCGCCCCAATCAGACCCGGTTCCCAGCGCAGGCGTCCGGGCGCCCAGTCCTACCTGGGATGCTGATGTAAAGCAGTAACAGCGGCGGCAGCAGCGGACGGCCCATAGCTGGCAGGCGGCTCCTGTATGCGGCCGCCCAGCATCACTCCTTTCTGTCTGGCCCCCAGGAAGGCGACAGTTTTGTGGCCTCGGGCGCTCCTCCCAGAAGTTGGCGAGTCAGCGCCACAAGTGTAGGCACCGCCCCCTCCACCCCCAGAGTCCCCCGCCCCCCCTGCCAAACTTCCCTCCCCGGGGTGCGGCCAGCAGAGGGGCTGGCTCTACCCTGACTCATGTGGCCGGTGGTCACAGTCCACCCCAGATTGCCTGGAAGCAAATCCCAGCTCTGTCTCTTCCTGCTGTGGGACCTCGTGCCAGGGAATGAGGACAGACATTTCTCCCAGCCGGAAATCTGAATGCAGACTGTTAAAGATTTTTGTTAAGAGGGATCATCATATTGTGGGAGAGTGTTCTTATTTAGAGAAGTACGCTACCTAGTGTGTAAGGCACTTGACTGGTAACCAGAAGGCTGGCGGTTCAAACCCCCCAGCCACTCCTCAGAAGGAAGATGGGGCAATCTACTTCCATAGTGATACTGCCTCGGCAACCCAAGGAGGGGACGCTATGAGTCGGGCCGACTTGGCGACACATAACAAGCTGAAGTATTGGGAAATGAAATAACACAATGTCTATAATTTACCTTAAAATACTTCAGGAAAAAAAATAGCGCGAGCCAGCGAGAGAGAGAGAGAGAGAGAGAGAGAGAGAGAGAGAGAGAGAGCACGAAAGAAAGAAAGAGAGGGGTTGCTGTTGGGAAAATGGTTTATGACTACATGTGAAAATGTTCTTTTTAATAGCTGCCCACTGAAGTATTTAGGGGCAAATGTAATTGATGGTATACAAAAATAAAATAAAACAACAACAAACAAGAACCAAACTCATTGCATTGGATTGAATTCCCACTCCCAGAGCCCTGGTGGTACAATCATTAAAGGCCTCAGTGGCTGCTAACTGATGGGCAGTTCGAACCCACCAGTGCAGAGAAGGAAGTGGTATGAGATACATGGGAGAAAGATGTGGTCATCGGCTTCCATAAAGATTTACAGCCTGGGAAACTCCCTGTGGGGCAGTTTTCCTCTGAACATTTGGGTCTCTGTGAGAATGAATTGGTGCGTACATTTACTTAAAAATCCTGCGGAAGAAAAATAAAGGCAAATGGGAACATTGATATCAATTGTATCAAGAAAGCAGCATATGGAGGCTCGTTAGGCTGATCTCTCTCCTCGTGTGTTTTGGACAATATTCGTAAAAAGTTAAAAAAAGTAAAGTAAAAGATTATTGTCTCCATGTCTTGGGATGTTTCAGACCCAACAGGTCAATTTAAGAGTGGTGAGATGGTGAACCAGTCTCCAGCCCTCCTCCCCACAAATGACTGTGGTCAAGTGGATTCTGACTCACAGTGACCCCCTTCGGGTTCCTGAGGCGGTAAATCTTTTTTTTTAATTTTTTTATTATTATTATTATTTTTATTGTGATTTGGGTGAAAGTTTACAGAGCAAATTCACTTTCCATACAGCAGCTCTCTCGCTCTCACACACACACACACACACACACACACACACACGTTGTCTCACAACATTGACTACAATTTCCCACAATGCAACAGCTCCCCTCCCACTTTCTCCCAATAGTTACCTCTTCTCTGTGTCCATCCCTCCATGCACTCCTGCCCCCTGAGCTGTCTCCGGGTGCATAAGCAGCCCATTTTTCTCCCATGATTGATCTCTCCAAGGAGTGTATCTACCTCAAGTACATGTTCAACTCATATGCCTGTCTATCGTTGGCTGGAAGCCACAGGCATGGGTTCAATTCTAGAGCTGAAGGGTAGCTAGGGGTCACAGTCTCAGTGGTTCCACCAGGCTCTATTGGACCAGTGAGGCGGTAAATCTTTATAGAAGTAGATTGCCCAATCTTCCTTCTGTGGAGTGACTGGTGGGTTTGAACCGCCAACCTTCTGGTTAGCAGGCAAATGCCTTAGGCACTGCACCACCAGAGCTCCCTTTAACAATGATTTACTCAGGACCCACTGTGTGCCCAGCAGTGGTCCAGGAGCTGGGAACAAAGCAAAGTCCCTGCCTCTGGCCCTGACGGTGGTGTGGGGACCAGCCGTGTCCTCTGATGGATGGGCATCAGCCAGCAATAAGTCAAATGGAGAAAAACCAAGTGGGCAGAGGAGGGTACAAAGGGGTGTGAGTGAGGCCTGCACCGCTGGGTGGTGGGAAGGGCTCTTCCGAGTAGGTGGCATCTGAGCTGAGGCTGAATGCAGCTATGAGGAATAAGGAAGTTGGGCAGATCTGCTCAGGAAGAGGTCCCAGTGGGAGGCAGCAGCCAGTGCAAAGGCCCTGAGGTGGGAGCATGCCCAGTGAAGGTCTCGGAACAGCAGAGAGGCCAGTGAGGCCAGAAGAGAGCAGGGGAGGGAAAGAGTAGTAGATGATGAATAAGTAAGAGCTACCACTCCCTGGTTATAAGGAGCCCTGGTAGAGTGGTGGTGAAATGCCCGGCTGCTAACTGTAAGGTCAGTAGTTCAAACCTACCAGCTGCTCCCCAGGGAGAAGATGTAGTAGTTTGCTCCCATAAAGATCACAACCTTGGAAACCCTATGGAGCATTTCTGCTTGGTCCTGTATGGTCACCATGAGTCAGAATTGACTGGATGCAATGGGTTTCGTTTGGTTTTTTGGACCACTCCCAACACCACTATAATAGTGATTGTCATTATTATGTGTCTTCAAGTCAGTTTTGACTCACAGCGACCCTGTGTGCAACAGAATGAAACACTGCATGGTCCTGTGCCATCCTCACAATCATTGTCATGCTTGAGCCCGTGGTCATAGCCACTGTGTCAGTCCATCTTGTTGAGGGCCTTCCCCTTTTTCGCTGGTCCTCCCCTTTACCAAGTATGATATCCTTCTCCAGGACTGGTCCCTTCTGACCACATGACCAAAGTACAAGAGGCGAAATCTGGCCATTCTTGCTTCTAAGGAGCATTCCAGCAGCACCTCTTCTCAGACAGATTTGTTCGTTCTTCTGGCAGTCCATGGTGCATTCAATATTCTTTGCCAACCCCATAATAATAATGATTATACTATTGTTATTCTTATTAATTCACTGATGCCTTAAGCTAGTGATTGTAAGATGAGATAAATGCCAAGGAAATTTTCTCCTAAGAGGCTATACCGCCTAGGGGTTAGAGCTTGGGAGCTGGCACCAGACTTTGTGGATTCAAAAGCCAGCTGCTTACTAGCTCTGAGGCCTCAGAGCTATAGTATTAGTTCATCGTTGTGGAGGGTCAAGGAAAAGTTTATATATGGAGGGAAACTTTCTTTGTTGGTTGCCAGGGATGGGAGGGGAGGGGAGGGAACACTGCAAAAAAAAAAAAAAATGCATTGACCCATGTCACTTTAGTTTTGTGTATTTCATTGTGCTTAAATTATATTTCAATAAAATGCATTTAAAAAAAAAGAAAAAGAAACACAGAGACAGAAAAAGACAGAGGCAGAGAGACACTGAAAGGGAGAGACACAGAGAGAGAGAGACGAGAGCAGGGAGGAGACGAGAGGAGGCTGGGGTGGGGGTGGATGGGTGTCAAGGTCCCTGGCACCCTGGCACCCTGGGCCGCAAGTTCCTTATCTGTAAAACAGAGCCAGCCAGTGCCTCCTTCCTGACGTTGTCATGTGGTGGAGAGGAGGGAAGCTACTGAAGATGTTCACCACAGTGTCAGGTGCAGCGGGCGTGTCCCGTAAGAGTGGTAGCTGTGTTGGCCCTGTAGCTGCCTTACTCTGCACTCTGGTGCTGGCCTTCCGTGCAGTGGGAAGGGTGGCAGAAGCCTGTCGTTGGGTCTGAGGTCAGCAGTCATGCTGATGGCACTGGAGTGGCCCTTGACTGAGTCACTCTTGGTCAACCAGTGCGCTCCTTTCTGAGCCTTAGTTTCCTCATCTGGAAGATGGAGCCGCTCTCTGGGCTGGCCTGGCCCGAAGGCTCAGTGAAGTATGAAAGCCTACGAAGGGGGAAGTAGGGAGCTGGGGCATTGGTCCAGGTGGACTCGAGACCCAGCTCAGCCACTTCCCTGCTCCTGTGTTGACCCTGGGCAGGGGGCTTCACTCCACTGCTCCTTGGTTTTCCCACCTGTGAAATGGGTCTGGGGGTGGGTGGGGAGGTGTCTCTCAGTGAAAGGAAACATCAGTTTTGGGGTGACCTCATCACTCTGGGCCACAATTTGCTCTTTTATTTAAAGAAGGAGGGAGGGACCTTGACACCCATCCACCCCACCCCAGCCTCCTCTTGTCTCCCTGTTCTTGTCTCTCTCTCTGTGTGTCTCTCCCTTTCAGTGTCTCTCTGCCTCTGTCTTTTTCTGTCTCTGTGTTTCTTTTTCTTTTTTTTAAATGCATTTTATTGAAATATAATTTATGCACAGTGAAATACACAAAATTAAAGTGACATGGGTCAATGCATTTTTTTTTTTTTGCAGTGTTCCCTCCCCTCCCCTCCCACCCCTGGCAACCAACAAAGGTTTCCCTCCATATATAAACTTTTCCTTGACCCTCCACAACAACGAACTAATACTATATTTGTCCTTCTGTGACTGATATAAGTCACTCAGCATAATGTCTTCCAGGGTCATCCATATTATGCGGTGTTTTGCAGACATTATTCTTTAGTGCTGCATGGAGATCCAGTATGTGTATGTACCGTAGTGTGGTCATCCACTCTTCTGCTGAGGGGCACATAGGTTGTTTCCGTCTTTTAGTTATTGTAAATAGCACTGTGATGAACATGAGCTTACATGTATCTGTTCCTGTCCTGGCTCTCACCTCTCTAGGATATATACCTAGTAATGGGATTGCTGGGTTCTGTGTTTCTTTTTGTTTTTCTTTGTCTCCGTCTCTTTAGTTCCTTCTATCCGCCTCTCTCTGACGCTGTCTCTCTGTCCTTGTCTCTCTCTGTGTCATTGTGTCTGTTCTTCCTCTGTCTCTGTCCGTCCCAGTTTCTTCCTGTCTCTGCTTTTTTTTTT